CCCTCTTTCTCTCCCTCTATAACTCTGACTTTCAAATAAATACATCTTTTTAAAAAAAAACATATCTTCCGAGAAACTTTTATGTAATTCAACCTAATTGATGCATGACTAACCCTCTGTCATTATTTATTAGATACATTCTCATTCAGGCAGGGACAATGAATTTAAAAAACTATTATGAACAGCTATTTAAAACATACCTCTGTGATACTCAATTTCATAATAATAAGCAATATTTTTCCATAAAATATTATCAGTTAAGTCAGGGAGGCCGGTGAAATCCCCACTCCAATTATTTGTAACTTTTTAATTGTTTTAGGATGAGAAATTCACCTTGTTTTAGCTGGAAAAAATACAAAAGGACAAAAGACGAGAGGGAAACAGGTGTTAATGATATAAAATACTTCCAAAAATGTGGACGGTGTCAATTAGTTCCCTGAGCATCATCTACTCCTTGGACAAAGACAAAGGACATACAGTGAAGACCAAGCTTAGAGCCAGTTACCTTCTTCCGGTCCATCCCTTGCAAATAACAAGGGCAATATCCAAGGGGTCTTCAAAAAGTTTGTGGAAATTCACGATACCTTGTAGTTCCATGAAATTTTAAAAAATATTTATTTATTGTGCTCGCTTCAGCAGCACATATACTAAAATATTTATTTATTTATTTGAAAGGCAGAGTTACAGAGAGGCAGAAGCAGAGAGAGAGAGAGAGAGAGAGAGGTCTTCCATCCACTGGGTCACTCCCAGATGGTCACAATGGCTGGAGCTGCACCAATCCAGGAGCCAGGAACTTCTTTCAGGTCTCCCACGTGGGTGCAGGGGCCCAAGGACTTGGGCCATCTTCTACTGCTTTCCCAGGCCATAGAAGAGAGCTGGATTGGAAGTGGAGCAGCCAGGACTTGAACCGGCATCCATATGGGATGCTGGCACTGCAGGTGGCAGCTTTACCTGCTACACCACAGTGCCAGCCCCTTTCCATGAACTTTTTGAAATACCGTGTATAACCTTTGAGGTATTTTTCAGTGCTAACATTAATTTTTTCTTCTGAACTCATCCCAATCATAATTTCAATAAATACTTCCTCATTGATTCGAACTAATAAATATATAAAAGTAGTGGGCATTTAACTGCTTTACTACAGATTTACAATTAAAAGCTATTTATGGTATCATTTCAAGAGTTAGGTCTATGGGGCCTTTACTAGGCATCCCATATGGGTGCTGGTTGAAGTCTCAGACACTCTTTCTCCAATCCAGTTCCCTGCTGATGCACCTGGGAAAGCAGTGGAAGATGGCTCAAGGGCCGACACACTGTGGCGCAGTGGGTTAAAGCCCTGGCTTGAAGCACCGGCATCCCATATGGGCACCTGTTCGAGTCCCGGTTGCTGCTCTTTCCGATCCAGCTCTTTGTTATGGCCTGGGAAAGCAGTAGAAGATGGCCCAAGTCTTTGGCCCTTGAACCCACATGGGAGACCCAGAAGAAGCTCCTGGCTTCAGTCTGGGCCAGCCCCCACCATTGTAACCATTTGGGGAGTGAGCCTGTGGAAGAAAGATCTCTCTCTCTCTCTCTCTCTCTCTCTCTCTGCGGCCATTTGGGGAGTGAACCAGTGGATAGAAGACCTCTCTCTGTGTCTCTACGTCTCTCTGTAATTCTGTCTTTCAAAGAAATAAAATAAATCTTAAAAAAGAAGTGAGATCGGCCAGTGCCGCGGCTCACTAGGCTAATCCTCTGCCTAGCGGCGCTGGCACACCGGGTTCTAGTCCCGGTCGGGGTGCCGGATTCTGTCCCGGTTGCCCCTCTTCCAGGCCAGCTCTCTGCTGTGGCCAGGGAGTACAGTGGAGGATGGCCCAGGTGCTTGGGCCCTGCACCCCATGGGAGACCAGGAGAAGCACCTGGCTCCTGCCTTTGGATCAGCGCGGTGCGCCGGCCGCAGCGTGCCAGCCACGGCGGCCATTGGAGGGTGAACCAACGGCAAAGGAAGACCTTTCTCCTCTGTCTCTCTCTCTCACTGTCCACTCTGCCTGTCAAAAAATAAAAATAAAAAATAAAAAATAAAAATAAAAAAAAGAAGTGAGATCACAACTAACTACATAAAAGCATCAAACTGTGCTAAGTACAAAAAACCAAGGTTTTCAAATTTTCCTAAATTTCCTAAGAACTTACAAAGGACTTTTGTATTCCTGTCGTCTCTGTTTCAACTGGCTACGAAGTGTGAAACGCAATGAATGTAAGTTCTTTATTCATTACTTCACTATTTATATATACTCATTAGAGTTGTTTTCTCAATGAACTCTTCAGTGTGGGGGTTGTTTTATACTAGGAGGACTACATTTTTGTATGGAGTGCTTTTATCTAGGACTCAGTTTTCAAGGAAACATGCATTGTTTGTTGGTAGCCATGTTGAAGATGGATACAGGAAACAAAGAACCTTTTAAGATGACTATAGAAAGCAAAACAGCATCAGTAGAGACACAGGATTGCACCGTCCAAGTTTTGCCTTATTGAATTTTGAGCGCTTATGAATCTCCAGGTGGTTCACTTACCATTCTTAGAAATGGAGAAAGTGTTGCATCCCATTTATGAGTAATGATTCTACTCTTAGCTCTTTGGATCAGAGGTAAATGCTGAAGGAAAATCACACTGAGACAGTACATTCGGCACAGGTCTGCTGCTTCACTGAGTGTGGGTGCCTCCTTCAAATCCTGGAAAAACATGAATTTTTAAAATGTCCACTTGCACAGGCAACATAAAAATTCAGATACAAAGGTGGGCCTTTGGTGCACGGGTTGAGTCTGCTTGGACACCTACATCCCGTAACAGGTGTCTAGGATGGAGTCCCAGCTTTGCTTCCAAGACCAACTTCCTGCTAACACCCAACCTCCTAACGTTAAGACCCCAGGTGATGACTGCCATTCAGCTGGGAGAACCACACTGAGATCAGAGCCCTGGCTTCAGCCTGGCCCAGTCCTGCTGTTGTGGGCATTTGAGAAATTAATTGGCAGATGGGCTCGCTTGCACTTGCTCATGTTCTCTCTCTGCTCTCCCTTTCAAATAAATAAAAACAAAGAAAGAAAAAATTTTAAAGAGAAAAATACAAACAAGAAGTCAAATTTTCTTGAAAAAATTCAGACATGCAGTAACAATATTTTAAGGCACCTTACCCAAAATTCTCCCATGTGACGATTTAATTCTTTTGGGGGTAATTTTATCTCTAGAAAAATTCTACTAAGCATGTGATGGATGAAAAACAACACAACTAGCTGTGTTGCCTAGGAGTGAAAGCTTTGCCTAATACATGGAGTTCCGAAATTCACTGTATCTAAACCTTGCATTTGATAAAATGGTAGGGGATGGCCTCTGTTTAAGGACATGTCCAGCAGCCAGTTATTCATGTCCTCAAGAGCAGAAGTACCAGGGGTTGCAGAAAAGCTGCTTCCTGTCACACCTGTTCCTATGTAGAACCAGGGCTGAGCATGGCTGTGATCTATACGGTAAAGCAACGTAGCAGAACAGAAAAGGAAAAAATGGGTTGCATCCCAGCTCTGCCCCCGAGTAGCTGCTTGACTTTTACTTACCATGTAGTAGACCACCAAGAACAGTAAAAAGTTGGTGACTGCATGCCCACTACAGCAAGGATTGACAAGTAATTCAGACTCTACTAGCTCACTACTGTTACAAATAGGAGCAACCTTATCATTACAGAAAACGTGATGCTGAGCCACAAAGTGGACAGTGGGCTCATCGTCAGGTCCCACTGCCTATCGGCTTTGACAAATGCTAACTTCTGTGCAATGTCACCACGTATGCATTGAAACTGGCCCAGGAGATTGCAAGCAGCAATGATGACCAGCTCTGAGCCAGGGGACAAAAGATATTTGTCCTGTGATCAGAGATGAAAGAGGTGACAGATTCATCTCAACTATCTTATAAAGAATCTTGCCAGCTTTCATAAGAATGAGATCATAATGATATCTCCATGCTTAGCCAGCAAACATGTGATCCACACGTCGTATTTTCTGTTTGACCTTGAGCTTATGCATAGGGCCACCACCCACAAGCACTGTCACATCATCAAAAGTGGCATGAGACGGGCTCATTGGTTTTGAAGGAGTCTCACCTGTGTATCACAGTTTTCTGTGTATGTGTTTGGGTTTTCACGGTCTTCTAAATCTAGTAACATTTTTTTGTAGAGCTTTAGTGCCACCGAACATGAAACGGAGCAGACAACACCTCGGATTTCAGCTCCTTGTGGCCACAGGTCCTGAAGCAAGGACAGGGTTTGATGCACCTGAAATAGAACACTTTGTCAAAAAAAAACAAAAAAAACAGTGATTCCAAGAAACAAGATTCAAAGCTGACATAGTAATTAATTCTAGAAAAATACTGAAATTTTATCTTTCAAAAACTTAAAGAAAAACATATAAGATAGGCCTGCGGAACTTGGAAAATGATGCTGAGCCGGTATTTAATAAGGCCCTAAGTGACATTTTAATATGAACAACTTTCTCCTGCTGATCTACAGGCCATGGCAAATCCACAGGTCTCTGTGTGATTAACCTGTGGATTCTTCAGTGTTGTCAGCCCAGACACTTCCCAGGGGCCAGTGAAGACACTGAGATGCATGGCATACACACTGCTAACGATCAACAGCTCTACTCCCATAAACTGATACGAACGACTGCTACCAAAGGCGTGATCACGAGAACCCTTGTATTTTGGGGAAAGTTGCAAAGGCGCGATAAATCACAGCGCTCAGCAAGAGATGCAGACAGGAGCAGACGGGGGCGATGGAGACAAGATGTTTATCTGAGTCCGTGGTGAGGCATCAGGATTTGAACCAGGAGACGCAACACCTCCTAAAAGCTTGAAACAGTCATTGAACAAGTCACCTGGTCTCAATTCTTTCACTTAAAGACGTCAGTTCAGTGTCTACATGCTATGTCGGGTCTCACAGGGGCTTTACACTAAGACTGAAAAGAGCACCCCCAGGGAGTTCCGAGCAGGAGAGCATCAGCACACATAGGCTGCCCTTTGAAATCAGAGGAACTCAGAGGATGAAATCGGCAGCCCTATTTCTACTCTGTGTGCTCCTGGGGGCCTAAGGAGCAGGGGAGGGCCACTGAGCCCCAGGAAGGGCTACAAGTTTGGGAAGGAGAGAAGGACAGGGTAACGCTTGAGCACAGGCTGTTAAAAAACCCCACCTATGTAAAACAGGAATGAGAGTGAGGACACGAATGAAAACCATAGCTAGAGCCACAGTGAATGCTCCGCTGCAGCTCTAAGAGTCCCTCCCCTTCTCACAGCTGCTCAAGGAATCACCTGCATCTTTCTCCGTGCAACGTTACAGTTGGTTACTTGGCTCACATAGGTTAAAATTCCTATGAAAACAAGACCCCTTTTGGTCTTGTCCACCACTGTAAGTCCAGCACCTAGCACGACATGTGGAACGATGCATCCGTGTCACAAATATTGCTGTATGGTTAAGTGAGAGAGCGAATGCAGGGAGAATGGACAGAAGAATCCAATGAGGTGGGGACTTTTAGTTCACCTTAGAATAGGGGACACTAAATATCTGGATGCTCATACGTGTACTGACTCCACAGTCAGGTGAACCCCGTCTCATCACCACGTCATGCCTAGTCTTCCAAAAACACTGTTCTATGGATTGTGGAACCACATGAGATGGCATGATTCAGGAAATCAGAAGTACAGAGTAACCACTGGCTTAGGTTAACTTCCGGAGACGTTCCCAAAGGCCAATGGCTTCCTTGCATTTGCTAACCTCAAAGATCCCTTTCCTTTCAAGATCTGAACAATTCCCATCTTCCAGGAAGCCAGCACCCACAAGAGCCACCTCACCCATCACAAGAGTAAGCCTTGGGATCGTTAACGTTATCACAGCACTGGCCTCTGGCCAGTATCACCACACATTGCATACAAAGTATTTTGTAGAAAATATTTTTAACCAACTTCAGGATGTTTTGATAACAATTTAGCAAGACCCTTTCTGCCTCAGAGGAATGCGGCTTGCAAGAGAACACTTCCCAGAGATGGAAGGCTAGGGAGTCAGGGGGCGTGAAGGTGAGCGTAGGACAGGCCTGTTTGCTAGAAGCAATAGCCATCAAAGGTATATTTCCTACATGCTGAACTTTAGTTTTAGGAGCATAGTCATTACCTCTTTCTGCAGGTCTTCCACATTTAATTTCAAATGACCACACACAGATATTCTTGCTTCCTGTGACTTTTGGAAAACCACATGGGCATGTAAGGCATGTCGCAGCTGTTTCTCATGCTACACACACAGATACAAAAAAAAAAAAAAAAACACGTATGTGTACACATCACAAACCTCTACTTAAACTAAATACAAGGTGGAAAGTCATGTTTATTTGGCTACAGGAAAACAAAAAGAAAGCCATCAATTCAAATCAAATAAACTTCCATTATGTCTTCTTGAACTAATGCTGAGGACATTGCAATCTAACAACAACAACAAAAAACACTTCTACCTAGTTCCATAAAAGCAACTATTTAAAAAGTACCAAATGGTATGAGCACTGAGCCTTGAGACTGACACCCACATCCCACACGGGAATGCTTGGATCTGATTCCCAGCTCCAGTTCCTAACTCCAGCTTCCTGCTAATGCACACCCTGGGAAACCAGTGACAGCTCAGGGAACTGGGCTCCCGCCTCCCATGTGGGAGATCTGGATTGCATTCTAGCTTCAGATCAGCTCAGCTCCAGCCGCTGCAGCCAATTGGAGAGAGAACTGGTGGATGGAAGATCTTTCCCTCTGTTTCTCCCTCTCTGTCTGCTCTTTGTGACTCTGTCAAATAAATAAATAAAAATCTTTAAAAGAAAAAAAATAACAAAGGAAGGGGGGGTGTGGGAGCATGGGCACGAGGGAGGGGAGGGTGGGAAGTATCACTGTACTCTAAAACTGTACAGATAAAATTTGTCCATATTACAAAAACAAAAAAATTATTAAAAAAACTATGCATGTTCGATTTTTTGCACCAAACTTAGCATCTTTAATTCCATTTTCCACGAACATTTTGAAGAACTCTCCTAGGTAATACATATTCAAACAAGTACACGTCTGAGTGTGTGTCCCTATGAGCTGTCACGTGCACACATATTTGTATAATTTATGCAGAAGAAACAGAATTTCCCACCTTGGTGCTCTCATGTCTGGTTTCTCTGGGTTCCTCCCCTCCATTTCCTCTTTCTTTTTTTTTTTCTCTCTCTCTCTCACTGTCCACTGTCAGTGAGAGAGAGAGAGACAGAGAGAAAGGTCTTCCTTTTCCATTGGTTCACCCCACAATGGCCACTGCGGCCGGCGCACCGCACTGATCCAAAGCCAGGAGCCAGGTGCTTCTCCTGGTCTCCCGTGCCGGTGCAGGGCCCAAGCACTTGAGCCATCCTCCACTGCACTCCAGGCCACAGCAGAGAGCTGGCCCAGAAGAGGGGCAATCGGGACAGAATGCGGGGCCCTGACCGGACTAGAACCTGGGGTGCCGGCGCCACAGGCGGAGGATTAGCCTAGTGAGCTGTGGCGCTGGCCTCCATTGCCTCTTGCCCTTGAACTTGGCCCACACCCTTCTTCCTCATCTCACCGAATCACCCAAAGGCTTCATCCCCAACAAGAATTTCTCTCTTTGCCAAAACTCAGAACTCACTTCTACTAACCTGACTTGTAAAGCCAGAGCAAAACCTTCCTGCTTTCCACGTTAAAAGATTCCTTCAGAGCCTTCCTAGGCCCAACCTCTTGAACAAGGACTCACATTATCAGGGTTGTTTCTTCCACATTTACACGGCTCACTTCTTCTTAGGCAGTTCAACCTGACTTACCATTTCAAAGAATTGTCTGTGCTCAAAGCGACTTGAGGTATGGTATCCATAAATTCTAAGGACATCCGACTCTAGCCCCAAGGGCTGTACTATATTGATTTTCTTCTGAAGAGCATGAATGATAAAAATGTTTAAAAAATCTGTTTGTCGAGCGGTTATTCCTTCATCTGAGATGACCAAGAAATGCGGGTAGCATTCCTCAAGAAATGTGTTCCATTCTGGAGACAAACAATTGGAAAACTCAGTATGAACAGTGACATCAGTATTGTATTCTAAATGTTGAATCAGGGCAGTACGAAGGGCCAGAAAATGAGGGCAGTTAAAATATATATTTTCTGCATCCTGTAAAAAAAAAGGAAACAAGTGTTAGTATTAGAGATAAAAAATGAGTGTCTAGTTATTTTTGTGAAGCTTATGGGAGTTACTGTGCTAACATGATAGAAAGAGCTAAGATGATTAAACATGTTCTACACAGCCTCTACAAGTGTAAGTAGATAAGAACACACTCGGTGGCCATTCTCCTCTGTACAACATTTACTATTAGCCCTTTCAGCAGAGCCTCTAGTTACAGACTGAAGAAGCAATATAGCTAATAGTTAAGTAATGATGGGCCACGTTTCGAAATGATTGACTCTGTTTTCCAAGATGAGAACGGAGAACGAAATATCTGTTACCTTAAAAAAGACGATTACAAATCTGGCTTCCTTTTGAATGAAGTCGTGCAGAAACCGCTCCATAATGTAGAAGAAGTGGAGGGTTTGCCCCATCTTGAGGTTCACATGGAGAGCACAAGTGAGGAGTAAGGAATCTCCATCAATCAAAAAAAATTCAGATTCAACGAAGTCTTTCAGCAAGCTGACCCTCCTGAATAAAATACAGAACAGGCGGAGACTGTGGACAGAGCAGCAGCCGCCTCAGAGAAAACGTACAGTTTGATTGGGTGGGCAACTCTTCTTCCAGTCTAAGAAATTTAAAGAAAAAACTAAGCACAAATTTCTGTTATCTTTAACAGTTTTCCAGGGCATTGCCATGATTTTGATAATAGAATAAGCCCCTGGTTGGAGCCTGACATCCTAAGAGTGGAACTGCAACTCACTTCAGTGTACGCGTATGCTTAAATTTATGCAAAAAATTCATCTCCACATACATTTTAGATTGACAGGCTTACTGTTATGTACTTCAAATGTGAAACACTAAATCAGTCATTATCCTTGTTCAGTTATATGCTGTTTATTTATTCAGTTCAGTTATTTGCTTTTTAAGCTAATGTACAATCAACATCTGTGACGTCTTCACTCAACCCAGCAACAAAAAAAATTTTCTTTTTTTTTTTTTAATTTTTTTTGACAGGTAGAGTTAGTGAGAGAGAGAGAGACAAAGAGAAAGGTCCTCCTTCCATTGGTTCACTCCCCAAATGGCCACTACGGCCGGTGCTGCGCTGATCCGAAGCCAGGAGCCAGGTGCTTCTTCCTGGTCTCCCATGGGGTGCAGGGCCCAAGCACTTGGGCCATCCTCCACTGCACTCCCGGGCTACAGCAGAGAGCTGGACTGGAAGAGGGGCAATCGAGACTAGAACCCGGTGCCCAAGATTTTTCATAACTTATATCTTCCCAGTGAGTCGTTTCCAAAGCTCATTACCCAGCCTCTCCCCTCAGAGGCAGCCACTGCCTTGAATTCAATTTTACTCAGTCTCACTTCACTTTTTAAGTTCTTATGATGTATATTATGCTTAATTTGTAATTTTTATCAGAAAGGCATCCCACGCCTTTTCTGAAATTTCTTTGTTTAACTCAAGTACTAATTACGATTAAAATCCCGCATGTGGTTATAGGATGCTATGCTTGAACTACTGCACTGTGATGTGTACATCATAACTGATTCTGTGTCCTCCTTCCCATGGGCATCTGACTTGTTTCTATGCATTTTTTGATACTGCCAACTGTGCTGCAAGGACTATTCTCTTAGCTTCCTGAAACACAGGTTTCCTCAATGCCCACTTGACTGAACTCAGGCAGATGGAATTACTGAGTTGCAAGTTATAGGGTAGCACCAAGCGGTTTCCAAAGTCATCATAGAGCTACACAGGCCTTAGCAGGTATCAGAAGTTATTCCAGCTACATCTGGTGGTGTATAAAAACAAGAACTGCTAGGACGTGGGTTGTTACTAGATATAATTCCTTTTAATTAAAGGAAAGCATTTGGCCTGTTAGGATGCCTATAACCTACATGCGAGTGCCTGGATTTGAGTCCTGGTTTCAGCTACCAATTCCAGCTTCCTGCTAAAGCACACCCTGGGAGGCAGTGGTGATGGCTCAAGTAGCTGGCTCCCTGCCACCCACACGGGAGACCCACACTAAGTTCCCAGCTCCCAGCATTGACCAAGCCCAGCCCGGCAGTCCCAGGCATTTGAAGACTGAACCAGCAGGTGGAAACTAACTCTCTCTCTCTCCCCTTCCCCCTCCCTCTCTCCTTCTCTCCCTCTCTCCCTCTCTTTTCCATCCTGCTCCTCTCAAACTAAAAACTCAAACACAGTAGGAAAATGTTAACTCTATGTATTCTTTCAGAATTCACTTTCCGCAAATTTCAACACATAATGTTTTGGCTAAGACCAAATGCTCTGGATTCTAAGCCTGCTCCTACGTGACTTTAGACAAATTGCTTGTCTATCCTGTGCTACAGTTTCTTGACTTGCAAAAAAAAAAAAAAAGAATTCAGAACAGCTAATCCTTCAAACAATTGCTGTGAGGATTAATGAGATAAACATGAGTGGTTAGAACCAAAATATGCTTAGGCCATAATCTATACTTAAAATATGCTTGTTATAAAGAATGTTTTGAGTTTTTATTTTACTTTGTAGTTGAATACAATTGGTATTGTAGTATTATAAATTCCATTTTGATTCTAAACTTATTCTATTGTAAATTAATTGAGAAAATTGGAATGAGGTACCAAATGCCAAGATTAGACTCAATAAACCACCAGTGGCAGGAACATTTTTACTCTCTTCACTGTGGTGTGCAAAGTCCCTAGCACATTAGCAAGCACACACAAATGGTTGTCAGGAAAACAACACAACACACTGGCGTGGTGCAGTCATCGTTGCTGATATTATAGAATGTTTCACCGTTGGTCAACTTGTGCCAAAGTCAGTTTCATGAAACTCACGCAATGTTTTAAATGGTATACAATGTTAGTTAAACAGCTACTTTATTATTGTGCAGTATTAAAAGAAAATTGAGTCTTTTCTCCGCTTATACCCCTCTTCAAATTCTTCAATAACTTACTCCTGGCTACCGAATGACTTAGACCATAACATTTCCCAAGGAAAGATTTCTCTATTTTTAATAACATTAACTTTTTACCCCATTGGAAGGTTATACAAAACAACTTAGCAGGAAGAAAATTTAAAAAAAAATATGCCATGCAGAGGGAAATAACATGTCGTGATGTGTGACTTTGAACTATTTGTGTTATACTTACTCGGATTTTGACAGGTGGGCCCAAAGGTACCTGGAGAGTTTCTTTAGAATTTCCCCACATTCAGTTAATCCTTTCAAAATAAATAACAGAGGTTTAATATTCATTTTTTTAAAGATTTATTTGTAAGGCAGAGCAACAGAAAGGGAGGGAGAGATCGACCCAGGAGCCCAGAACTCTGCTTAGGTCTCCCACATGATAGCAGGGGCCCAAACATCTGGGCCATCTTCCATTGCTTTCCCGGGCACGTTTGCAGGGAGCTGGATTGGAAGTGGAGCAGCCAGGACTCGAACTGGTGCTCACAGGGGATGCTGGCATTGCAGGCAGCAGCTTAACCTGCTGTGACACAACACCACCCTCTCATATTCAGTTTTAAAAGACAACTTCTGCTGATAACTTTGACTATATTTGTATTTTATGCAAAGCTGCAAACACATCAATGGAACGTTCCTAAGAATGTGAAAGACACATCGCTGTCTCCATAATGACAGCCTGCCTACCCCACTCATTAAACAGAATGATTGTGGGCCAGGGCAGCCAAATCGTACAATTTTGAAATTAGCTTTTTCATAAATTCTCAGTCACAAATGAATTTTATGATATACATAAATCTTTAAGAAATCTGCAAAATACAAATGTAAACAAAACTTGAGCAATGTGCCACTTCCAAAGTTAATTCATGTGAATATTTTATATGGAGAGACACACACACAGAGAGAGAGATGTTAAATAAACAGTTATATAAATTTCTAAATATCTACATCTACCTTCAAAAGTTCTGCCACGGTGCGGCGCTGTGTCGCAGTGGGCTAAAGTCCCAGCCTGCAGCACTAGCATGCCATCTAGGCATCAGTTCGAGTCCCGGCTGCTCCACTTCCCATCCAGCTCCCTGACAATGCTCCTGGGAAAGCAGCAGAGGGTGGTCCAAGTGCTTAGGCCCCCTGCACCCATGTGGGAGACCCAGAGGGAGTTCCTGACTCCTGGCTTAGTCTTGCCTATTGAGGCCATTTGGGGAGTGAACTAGCGAAAGAAAGATTGATCAATCTCTCTCTCTCCCCTCTCCTTTTCCCCATCTTCCACCCTCTGTATCTCTTCTTCTCTGTTGTGTCATTCTACCTTGGAAATAAATAAATAATAAATCTTTTCCCAAAGAGGAGAAGCATGAAAGAAACTCACATGCATGGGTAATCCCTCACCTGATTCTCCCAACTGACAGCTGTTCTCAACTGTAGCTTCAGCTCCTGGAGGTGTCTCTTCATTGATTTCAAACTGCAGTTGCCTGGAAGTTGGCTCTTCTACGATGCCTTCTGAGCTCAGGTCATCTTCTTCTTCAAATTGATCAAAAGAGGACACGCTCTCCGTGGTCTCACTGGCTTCAGAGCTATCATTTTCAGTGTCACTGTCACTGTCACTGGAGCTTGACTTTTCACCTGCCACAGCAGGTGCAGTAGCCATGATCTATAAAAGCAAACCTATTAAGCATTACCCATTTTTTAAAAATAAGATATCACGATAGTTCACTCATTCAACAGTAACATCTGCTTTATTACTTCTCTCTCTAAATCTTCCCAGTTCGTATTTACCCAAGAGGATATTTTTCACAATCCTTCCCCCAAATATGTTTGCTGCAAGTCATTCAAAAGAAAATGGTGTGGGGAAGGCACTGTGGCATAGCGAGTTAAGCTGCCGCCTGCAGTGCCAGCATCCCATATGGGCGCTGGTTCAAGCCCCGGCTGCTCCACTTCTGATCCAGCTCTCTGCTATGGCCTGGGAAAGCAGTGGAAGATGGCCCAAGTGCTTGGGCCCCTGCACCCACGTGGGAGACCCAGAAAAAGCTCCTGGCTCTGGATCGGCACAGCTCTGGCCATTGTGGCCAACTGGGGAGTGAACCAGTAGATGGAAGACCGCTCTCTCTCTCTCTCTCTGCCTCTCCTTCTCTCTGTGTGTAACTCTGACTTTCAAATAAACAAATAAATCTTAAAAAAAGAAGAAGAAGATGGTGTGGCACCACTGCATGGCACAAAACACTTCTGAAAATACCTGAAGCTGCTTCAAAAAGCCTGTGAAAAATTGAACTAAAAGGACTTTTTTTTTTTTTGTAAAAACAATGAAATCCATGCATGGTTTTTTCATAATAAACATTTCCCACAAACTTTTTAAAGTCCTCTCATGCATGAAAGTCACATTTACAGAGAAAAAAAATAGTGTCTGCAGAAGGATGTGAAGCAAGAAATCTAGAAAATGGTAGAAAGTTATGTTCGCACCTTCCTTTTGGAAGAGTCTCCAAAGACAAATTTGCAGCATTTGAAGCGTTACTAAGTCATATTCTCTCTCACAGTTGAGCGCATAGTCAGCCAGCTTACACTGAATTAGCATCCAACTAACATGAGGGAGTTGTTGGTTTCTGCACGCTCAATGATTTTCGGGGCGTCCTCAGCTGAGGTTCTGAAACGCACACTCTCTTACTCGAATCAGCGTATGTACCCTCGCTTTATGTGTCCTTTCACCAGGAAATACTGCAGGAGCGGCCCCAGCAGAGGTGCCAACAGTGAGACAGTGTCTTCTGGCTGGAAGAGCTCATCACGTCATTGTATACCGAAGCACTCCTGCTCTCAGGAATTGAAGGTCATTCTTAAGTCCAGGCACTCTACTGCGGGATGTGGTCATCCTAATTGGAGTCTTCATTGCTGGGTCAAATGCCCACCCCACTTTAAATGGCCTCTTGCAAGATGACCCCAAGGGAATGAATTATTAGCCGTGTAGATACTAAGCCGTGGACACCTCTGTGGTGCACCTCTGTGTTGGCTCTTCCTCTTGCTCCACCTCATTCTTCTTGACCTTGGATTTCCTGAAACTGCACGTCTTAATAAATTATTAGCACTTTTTTTTTTTTTTTAAATCTCAGTCTCTGCTTTCTTGGGAACCTTGACCAAGAGCATTGAGATCAGGAGTGGTCACTGAGAGTCTGTCTTCAGGATTGAATCGTGCAGCTGGATCCCTCCCTGGTGGAAGGTGCATGGTGATCCCGTTGCTGGGGCTAAGACAGGCGCCCATAACCTTGGCACACAGCAGGATCACAGTCACTAATGCTTTACTCTGTGCTTAATTCTAATGAAGCACAGGTGGAGGGTAAGGCACTGAAAAAAATGCTTTGGCTGCAGCGCTTGAAAGTATGGGAGCAGGGGCCGGCACTGTGGCGTAGCAGGTAAAGCTGCCACCTGCAATGCCAGCATCCCATATGGGCGCTGGTTCGAGCCCCGGCTGCTCCACTTCTGATCCAGCTCTCTGCTGTGGCCTGGGAAAGCAGTGGAAGATGGCCCAGGTCCTTGGGCCCCTGCATCTGCGTGGAGACCAGGAAGAAGCTCCTGGCTCCTGACTTCAGATTGGCTTAGCTCTGGCCGTTGCTGCCAATTGGGGAGGGAACCAGCAGATGGAAACTCGCTCTCTCTCTCTCTCTCTCTCTCTCTGCCTCTCCTTCTCTCTGTAACTCTGACTTTCAAATAAATAAATTTCTAAAAACAATTTATGGGAGCAGTGATGATTTTCTTCCATCCATAACACCAGAAAATTTTTACAAAGAAACATAGATTGAGGGCATCCACCAGCCAACTTAAGGCGGTCCTGAAATTCAGAACACCTCAAGACAGATTTTTGAAGGCAGGCTCTCCTCTCCCTACTGCTCAGGGCAGAGTGTGATGAAAATCATGCTTAGAATCTCATACACAGCCTTGGCAGGTGTCCATTTTTTTTTTCTTGACAGGAAAAAAAAATGTAGGATGGGTATTTAGGTCATTTAGCAGTACCATTACCACTGCGGGATCTTTTCCTCTAACTACTGGTTTAGACACTTGATTTGAATTTGCGGCCAGCCTTGGAAAGCTGGAAATCTTGATGCCAAGCAGAAGCGAGATGAAATTTGAAACAGAGGCATACCAGCTAGAACCACAGCCTAGACCTAATTCTAGTGTTTACCCTTGGCAAGAGTTGGAAATCACAAACTCTGAAGTAAGAAAACACCATCTCCACCTCCAGATTCCACGTTAAGCACCATGTGCGCTGACCAACAATGCTTTCCTCCCTCCTACTTAATAAAAATATAATAAAAATAAGTCTATGATTGCTGCACTAATTTAAGATACCTCTGCTTAAAGATACACCATGAAATAAAATATTTCAAGGATTTATAATAACTCTAAGAGGTTTCTAACTCAGAGAAAGTTCCAGGAGGCAAGGGTAGGTCTGTTCTAGTCTCTAGAACAGTGGGCAATCAATCCCCCAGGGCCCCAACTGTTCCCCTCCGAGGTGACTCAAAAACGCGTGCTTGAGCAATTTTGAAAAGTCACAAGTTGAGGGGCTGTGTACTAACAGAACCCTACCAGCCATCCAAATGAGGGAGAACCATCATGCAGACATTGTGCAGACACCACACCACCTGTGGGTAAGGCCTCCCCAGTGTGCACAGCACTAGCCCTGGAAATGCCAGTCACAGGGCGTAACGATGCCCATGGGGGCTGTGCAGTGTGACGACTCTGCCAGTAATAACATCTCTACCCAACAGCTCTCGAGTAGCTCAGGAGCGTAGCAGTTACATCTTGTAAAACTAGCAGACGTGACTTTTACACAGGCCAAGAATATCTACTAGCTCACTTCACACAAGTCAGTATGTGTCATTTCTGATGATCATCAGAAATTATAATCATCAGAAATTATAAATATCAGCAAACTTCAACAAGAATTTCAGGCAAGATTTTAGGTCAGTGAGTACTGTGGGTCTGCAAGATTCTTCTTCTTTCTACTTGAGGCTTTCTTTGAATGGTTAAAGGTTCTTTTTAAAAAAAAAAAACATTTTATTTATTTTAAAGGCACAGTTACAGAAAGAGAGGGAGAGAAAGAGAAAGAGAAAGAGAAAAGAGAAAGAGAGAGGTCTTCCATACACTAGTTCACTCCCCAGATGGCCACAATGGCCAGGAGCCTCTTCTGGCTTTCCCACGTGGGTGCAGGAGCCCAAGCACTGGGGCTATCTTGTGCTGCCCTCCCAAGTGCATTAGCAGAGAGCTGGATTGGAAGTGGATCTGGGAATCTGAATCAGCGTCCATATGGGATGTTGGTATCATGGGGGGCGGCTTTACCAGCTAAGCCAAAACACTGGCAGCAAAAGTTCTTATCTTCTACTTTAAGATTTACAAAACCCCTCAGAAATCTAGAAATTTTATGACACAGCTAACAACTCGGAAAGGACAAGAGTTATTAATGGGTGGAGTAGGGCATCTGGTACAGTGCTTAAGGAGAAACAACCCGGGCCTGGTGAGTGGACAGTGCTGTCTGTGACTGTCCACCAACCTACTTTATTTTCAGCTGTGAGTCCTAGTGGTTTGAGAGCACATTTAATAATGTACAAAGCAAAGAGGCAGAAAGAAGGGCAGTCAGGCACAAGAGGGCACTGCTCTAGTCTTTTCCACACTGCAGGTGCGGAGATCTGTTCAACACCTGTGTAAATTTCAACGCGGTCAGCCTTGTGCTAGGGAGAGAGCTGGCCTGCAATGCCATTGCCTACTGCAGAATGCTAGCAAAGACCTAGTGATTCTGAACTAACACAAGTCATCAAAACAGTTCCAGGAATGCTCTGGTATGGATAATCCACGTTGCTCCCTGCAGCATTGCTTTAATGGTGAAATATCAGAATTATCATACAAAATAGCAACCGCTTATGTTGGAATACAATGTAATCTTATACAGTCACAGCCAATGGATTATACTCAGCAGCCAAGGCCAACCTCACGGGCGCAGCCTACATGGTCACAAAGGAGCCATCACACAGCGCTGGTACTCAGAAGGGCCTTCACTGGGTGTAAACCTCTGCTGGTGGTGACTCAAAATCCTCGGTTTGTAAGCGAGTCCAAAGAACATGAGGCTGAGCCAAGGAGGTATGCGGGAGAAAGGAAAGAGCTTTATGACTTAGTACCTTTAGTGGCACTTTATCCCTGCCTTAGGAACAAGGCGCTCACAAAATTATGCAGCAGGCCCTGTTAGCAGTGGTGATGCAAACCCCTCCCAAGCAGCCAGCCACCCTGTGAAGGAGGGAACGGAAGACTAATCAAGGAATGGCTTCTGGTATAGTGGCTAAGCCACTGCTGGAATCCCCACAGCCCATGTTAGAGTGCCCAGGATCAAGTCCTGGCTGAAGTCCTGATTCCAGCTTCCTGCTAATCCACCCTGGGAGGCAGCAGGTGAAGGCTCAAGTACTTCCATCCCTGCCACTCACATAGGAGACTTGGATTGAGTTCCCAGGCCCTGGCTTCAGATACAGTTCCAGCTGTTGTGGGCACTAGGGAAGGAAACTAAGGGATGAAATATTTCTCTCTTCCTTTGAAATAAAGAAATAAGAAACAAAGACTAATCGCCAGGGACCTTGTGGACCCCTCAAACCCTCTGGTCTTAACCCTACCAGCAAATCTCCTTTCATACCTAAGGGTCCCTCTCAAAAGTAAAGAAATAAGAAACAAAGACTAATCGCCAGGGACCTTGTGGACCCCTCAAACCCTCTGGTCTTAACCCTACCAGCAAATCTCCTTTCATACCTAAGGGTCCCTCTCAAAAGTCAGTTCCAGTCCCCGGGTGGCAAGATGTCCACCTCAGACTCCTCCGATAGCTCAAAGAAAGATGACCACTGGTGGGAACCAGGACACAGGACCTATATTAACAAATCACAGCATGAGGCCACAGAGTTATTAAGAAGGGTCCTTAGTAACATAGGACAAGTCCCTGTGGTTCTGCTCCATACAAAGACAAGCCCAAAAGAAAAGTACCACTGGTTTTTATGAGCTACACCTCTCTGATACGCCACCTCTAGAACTACTGGAACCTGGGGTTCCAACCCCAGGAGGGACACAGCAGAGCAGGTTTTAAACTGGGGCTTTACTGTTTTTGATATATGGCCTAGGACAGGTGCCCACCTCCTTTAGCCTCCTATTTCAAAGGGGATCAGCAGTGCCTTCCTCACAGAGCTTTGAAGAGGATTAAACAGTACAATGTGGTATAATTAAATAAAACTCTTGCTTTCCCTCCTTGTGCTGCTATTTAGAAATGAGACGATGATACACTAAGAACCCTGACAAGTGAAAGTGCTTCAAGAATGCTGATTCTGTTGCTGTCTCCTTCCTTGGCCCTCGTGCCCTTGTTCTTGAGACCAGACCCTTCATAAACCATCAGTTCCTGTCCCAAGACCCACCAATGAGTGTATTGTTAGTTCTGCATAGGCTGAATACCAACTGTGTACCAGGGACTACAGGAATGAAAGCAGAGAGAAAAGGCCTGCCCTGGACAAGCTCACAGTCTTCTATGAGATACAGGTATTTAGCAAATACATGCTGATAAAATGGGTTAAGCGCTTTACGAAGATAAGCAGTGTGTTATGCAAGTTCTGGAAACGTATCCCTGCCTGGGAGGATGAGAGAAAAGTATCACAGAGAAGGAAGACCCTTGAGTTGGATATTTTGAAACATGGCTACGACTTTCTCAAGCTGAAAACACTGAGGAACATCAAGTAGTGGCTGCCTATCTGCAGAGCAGTGGCAAGTCTGGCATGACAGAAGCAGGGGCTGTGCAGCTTGGAAAAGGAAGCTGTGAACAGACCTGAGAACAAGGCCTTGGAATGCCCCCCTAAGGGATTAGGGCTTTTGAAAGTATGCAAGAGGAGATGAGAAAAGATCAGACAGTCCCCTGTGCTTTCTAGGGAAATGCAGGTGGTATGCAGGCCTGAAGCAGAAAAGCCTGGAAGAAAGAATCCGGAGAGCAATGAGACTTGGCAGCAGGCAGCCTCGGCCTGAGGGCTTGTGTAGGACCTGAGCCACCACTGACATAGATTCGGTGACTACTAGGAGACAGATGCTGGTAAAGAGGGTGCTGCCAAGCTTCCCAACTTGGAAGGCAAGTCAGATGGAGCCGCCAATACAGAGATCAGTGCAATGTGTGGAGCAGGTTTGAATGGAACAGGAAGTCTGCGGTACCTGCAGGACACTCAAGTGTGTGTCTAAGAGGCAATGCAAACGGAGAGGTAGATCCCATGGTAGAGGCTGAGGATGGAGACACTGCTTTGGCAGGTAGTCTCATAGAGACGTCGGTTCAAGCCACAGCAGTACGATCACCTCGAGTTGATTCGAGTGCCCCAGGCCAGTGTTCCCGCACACACATTACGGTTCAGAACCACCCAGAGAAGAGAGGCCGGGAGTCAAGGCCGCTTCTCACGGACGCGGCCAAGACTGATTCCGGCCAGGGCCAGGAAACCCCCAAAACGGAACCCGGGCCGTGGGAAAAGTTCTTCCTCTCCCAACCCCCGCCTCCACCCGCCCACCGGCACTCCTGTCACACTCGCCCTCCCTCGACGCTGCCCCACACGCCTTCCTTCCCCTTCCTTCCACGCCACCCCACCTTCACGCCACCTTTTCCTTCTCCCCCCTTCCTCTCTCCTCCCGAATCTCCCTTGGCCGCCTCTCTCCTCCTCCTCTCCCCTCCACCCCTCACATGCACACCCCTTGCCTGCTATCTGCACCCCAGGCCCCACCTACCCCGTGACGACAGCAAGGCCATCGCGCCCAACTCACCAAAGAGCGTTTCTGCTCCTCTGGAACAGGAGCCGAGGCCCGAGGGGTAGACTTCCGGAAGCTGCCCAAGAAGAGGCCCGCGCCTACACATTTCCAGAAGGGCAAGGTAACTGATGCGGCTGTCCCGGGCTGCAGTGTCTCTGATTCAGGCCTGACCCCGGAGGCACTGGGTCTCACTCAGGCTCCGCCAGCAGCATCGAGGACGGCTCCTCAAGACTTGAACAGGCTTTTGGGCAGGAACAGATGAGGAGCAGACTTCCATCTGAGGATGGCTGAGCAGGAGATGTACCTACGGGTACAATTCCTGGTCACAGCGCAGGGCGCAAATTCACTCCCCACAGGCAGCTGCCATGGCACCATGGGACACATCTGCATGCTGCTACGTCCAGTGTGGGGCGCCCAAGAGCCGATTCCAGTCCCGCTACTCCAGGTTGGGAACCAGGGAGGCAGCCGCTGATGGCCCAGGTACTTGGATCCTGCCTCCTTCCCTCCTGGGAGTCCTGAAAGGAGTCCTTGCCTCCTGGCTTCTGCCTGGCCCAGCGCTGGCCTTTGAAGCCGCCTGGGGAGAGAAGCAGTGCATGGGGCATCGCAAGCACTCTTGCTCTCTCTCAGTGATTGCCCATCTGGTGGTTCGCCCCCCTCCCAGGTGGCTACAAAGGCCAGGGCTGGGCCAGGCTGAAACAGAAGCCAGGGACTTTATCTGGTGCCCCATTCTGAGAACCTGCCACCGGGCCCCTGGCTCCTGAATACTGGCTCCGGATCTGCTCAGCTCCCATCATTGCGCCAATTTGCAGAGGACCAGCAGATGAAAGACTTACTTTCTCTTTCTCTCTCTCTGCATGTAACTCCGAATTTCAAATAAACAAATAAGAACTTCATAAAAAAAAAAAAGGGGGGGGGAGACATAGCTATAAATAAAATACTACATCACGGCCAACTACTAGAGTTTATATCGAACTTGATACTATATGCATCACCTGGCCTATTAACACAGAACTCCTGTGGGAAGGATAGTTAAAACCCGTGATTTGCAAACCCTTCCAAAAAGGAGACGAAGGGGAAAAATCTTCCATCTCATCCCTTCGGACCAACATTTTCCCAACATCCAAAACAAATGCATCATAAAGAACACGGCACATACGTATCTGTCATGACTGCGCTGTCACATTCCTTAACAAAATATTACCAAACGCGCTCCTGAAGCACAACCAAAGCTTAGCACGCTGGGTGCAACTCCAGGAATGCAAGGATGGCTACCATACACAATCAATATATCACAGAACAGAATAAACATGGGGAAAGCCCACAAAGTATCCCTATAGACACAGAAAACCTATTTCACAAAAACTCCCACCGCTTTGGCGATATTAAAAAAAAAAAAAAAAAAAAGGAATCATCAAATCAGGAACAGAAGGTAAACCTCGGCTTGACAATGGCCTCTCACTGAAAACCCACAGAGCGCTAACATCACACCAAATGCCAGTTAACCGGAAACTGTCCTCCTAGACCAGGAAACAGACGAGCGTTTTCGCTCTTATTCCTCCCCGTCAGCAGTCTCGGGGGTCTCGAGCAGGGCGGCTGGGCCATCAAAACGCAAACAGACGGGAACGCGGGGCCGCTCCAGGAGGAGACGGAGCCCCTCTGCTCTGGCACAGCTGCTCGCACACTGGGGAAAGTTCCAGACCGACCGTCCGCACAGCAAGACCACGACTCCACCCGCGCCTTCGGGACCCGAGAGCAACAGGCACGCCGGCAGCGAAGACTCGCAGCGGGAAACCCCAACAGCCCCCGCATCACTCACCGCCAAGGGGGCCCGGTCTGCTGGCGGCACAGGGGCCCGCGAAGGCCGCTGCTTCCACGAAGGGCCGAAGAAGAGAACCGCGCCCGGGAAACGGCGCGGCAGCCTCGGGCCGCAGCCTCTCTGAGCCCGGCCTGACCCCGGGGGCGCTGGGTCTCCCGCAGGCTCCGCCGGCAGCGTCCAGGACGGCTCCCGACGGCTCGCGCGGGCTCTCCGGCAGCAGCGGACGGGACCCGCGAGGACTCCTACCTGAGCGCCGCGGGCCACGAGGGGCCACTTCCGGGGCACAAGGGGCCACTTCCGGGTCACAGCGCCGGGCGCAGGCGCACTCCCCATGGGCGGCCACCGTGGCGCCGCGGGACGCACCTCCGCGCTGCCTGCCGCGTCCAGCGTCCGAAGCCCCAGGGCTGCAGGCGGGGCGGCCTCTCCAGCCTGTGACCCAGGGACCACGCCTCCCGGCCTCCTGGGCGCCCTGAATGGAGGTCAAGCCTCCTGGCTTCTGCCTGGCCCGGCGCTGGCCGTTGGAGCCGCTTGGGGAGAGAAGCAGAGCACCGGGCATCGCGAGCCCTCTTGCCTCTTGCTCTCTCTCACGGATCGTCCCTCTGGGGGTTCAACCCCCAGGTGGCTACTAAGGCCGGGACCGGGCCAGGCCGAAGCAGAAGCCCGGGACTGTATCCGGTGCTCCACTCTGGGTTCAGGGGCCTGAGTCCTTGGGCCGTCTCCCTCTGCTTTCCCAGGCATGGCAGCAGACAGCTGGATCCCACGGGGAAAGGCTCCCAGGAGGGGCCGGCGCTGTGGGGGAGCGGGTAAAGCCACCGCCCGCAGCGCCTGCATCCACATGGGCGCAGGTTCGAGTCCCGGCTGCTCCACTTCCGGTGCAGCTCTCTGCAGAAGAGGGCCCAAATCCTTGGGCCCCTGCACCCATGCGGTACACCCCGGGGAGGCTCCTGGCTCCTGGCTTCAGATCCGCTCAGGCCTGCCCATTGCAGCCAATTGGGTAGCAGACCAGCAGATGGAAGACCTCTCCATAGCGATTCTCTCTCTCTCTCTCTCTCTCTCTCCCCCTCTCTCTCCCTCCCTCCAGCCCTCCCTGAATTTCATATAAATAAGATCTTCAAAAAAAATAAAAAAATTAAGAAAAGGAAGACATAGCTTTAAATAAAATACTACATCAAGGCCAACTATTACAGTTCATTACAATTTGATATTATATACATTACCTACCCTATTAACATAGAATTTGAAAAGGAATTTAACTCACTCTTAGAAAAGGTGTTGGTGGCAGGCAACGCAGCTCACTAGGCTAATCCTCCACCTAGTGGCGCCAGCACACCAGGTTCTAGTCCCGGTCGGGGTGCCGGATTCTGTCCCGGTTGCTCCCTCTTCCAGGCCAGCTCTCTGCTATGGCCCAGGAGTGCAGTAGAGGATGGCCCGAGTCCTTGGGCCCTGTACCCGCATGGGAGACCAGGATAAGTACCTGGCTCCTGCCTTTGGATCAGCGGCGGCCACTGGAGGGTGAACCAATGGCAAAGGAAGACCTTTCTCTCTGTCTCTCTCTCTCACTGTCCACTCTGCCTGTCAAAAAAAAAAAAAAAAAAAAAAAAAAAAAGGTGTTGGTACCCATTCTTTCTCTTCTACCTTAGAAACGTTCCGTGTGGTATTATCTATGACTTACGCATGAGGAAATCAATGTAGTTTATTTATTCAGACACTTGGGTACCCACTCGCACAGGGACTTGAGACACCTGTGATCTACAGAGTTCTCCACTGAACACAGGTCTGCTCCCCAACCTCCGCCCTCCACAGTCTAGGCCTGCATTTAATGGATGGAGCATGCTTGAACTAGGACAAACCGTGTCTTCCACAAAGCACCATAGAATACGTAAATGTAGCGTCTGAGGTCCCTCTTGGCATTTTCTACGTGCACGTTATCACGTTGGTACTTTTTCTCTCCTTTCTCAACGTTAGATACAAGTTGGGAGGGAGGAAGTCAAACTATCACTATTGGCAGAGGACATGATTCCATACAGAGGAGATCCACACGACTCCACTGAGAGACTATCGAAACTCAGAGTAGAGTTTGGTAAAGTGGCAGGATAGAAAATCAACAGCCTTTGTATACGCAGACAGTGCCGTGGCTCAGAAAGAACGTCTAGGACCAATCCCGTCCACATAGCTACAAAGAAAATACAGGCTCTGGGGACCATTTCAACCAAGGATGTCCACTAGCTGAGAATCACAACAGATTAAAGAAAGGAATAGAAGAGGACAAAAAGCAAAAAACCAAATTGAGAAGCTTCTGCACTGCAAGCAAAACACTCGGCAAAGCGCAGAGGCAACTAACAGAATGGGAGAAATTATCTGCAAAGTATGCAGCTGGTAAAGGATTCACTACCAGAGGTTTTCAAGAAACTCAACAGCAGCAAAACAAACCACCCACTCAAGAAACGGGCCAAGGACTTCCGCAGGCATGGTTCAAGAAAGGAAATCCAAATGGCCAACAAACACATGCAAAAATGCTCAGGGTCACTAGCCATCAGGGAAATGCACAGCAATACTACAACAGCCTTGAGGATGTCAGGGGGGGAAAGGCGGCCTGCTCCGCTGTTGGTGGGAATGTAAACTGGTATAGCCACTGTGGGAGACAGTATGAGAAACCTCAGAAACCTGAATATAGACAAACCAGCCGTTCCACCCCGGGGAATATAGGCAAGGGAAAGGAAATCAGCATATGGAAGAGTCATATTTACTGCAGCTCATTTCACAACAGCAAAGATAGGCAATCAACCAAAATGCCGCTCTCCTGAAGACTGAAGAAAGAAATTACGGGCCATGTACACCACACATACATATACAGACCGCAGGGGAGAGGAAAGGCCATCATTTTGAAATAGCCCTGCCTATATGTTCTCCACTTGAGAACAAGGAGACCACTCTACCTTAGAGCCTAATCGACCTTGGGGAAGGGCAATTAACCAACTCCTGCCCCTGGAAGACTTGCTGTCTTACACAGGGGATAAAAGAGCAAAGAAAAAGGCTAGAAAAGTATTGTGAAAGCTACAGGCTAGGGGTGTAGGCCAATGAAACCAAATATTCAATCCTAAGATTATACATGCTTTCTTCCTTCAATACTTTAGCACATCACCCGGGCTCCAGATCTATACCAGACACAGGTTCTATTTAAGAAGGAATTTCTAGGGAAACCCCAAAAAAGAGTGCGAGACACCAAAATAAAGGCCCAAAAGGAAAATGAAACCTCTGATACCTACAGCAAAGCAAACATTAAATAGCCTAACTCCCACCCAGAGGAACATAAACCTCACACTAAGTGACCTGCTTACTTTGCTTTCTATTACCTGATACATTGTGTCCAGCTTTCAGAAAAAAAAAAAAAAAAAAAAAAGTTAAAGCAAGAAAAATGCAGTCTGAAGAGACAAAGCAAGCATCAAAACCAGGCCCTACCATGGCAAAGATTCTGGAGCTGTCTGACTGGGTTATTAAAACAACTGTAATAGAAAAATTGGACGATATACAGAACCACATGAATAATGCAAACAGATAGATGGAAACTCTCAAAGAATCAAAAGGGGCCGCCAGATCAAAACAACCACTGAGACAGAAACGAAGAATGTCTTGGAGGGGCTCATTATCAGACTAGACACTAGAGAGAAGACAATCCGTGAGCGGGTGTGTATCGATAAAAACTTCCTAAACTAAAAGCCAAAGAAAGAAATGGGGAAAACGCTAATGGAATGCCTGAGATTATGGGACAATTACAAAGGTATGACACACACAAAGCAGGAATACTAGAAGAAAGGAAGGAACAGGGGCAATATTGGAAGTAATGACGGCCGAAAACGTTCCAAAAGCTGAAGGTAAAAACGATAGAGGTTGAGGGGCTGGCGCTGTGGCGTAGCAGATACAGCTGCCACCTGCAGCATCGGCATCCCATATGGGTGCCGGTTCGAATCCCATATGCCCCACTTCCGATCCAGCTCTCTACTGTGGCCTGGGAAAGCAGCAAAAGATGGCTCAAGTCCTTGGTCCCCTGCACCCACATGGGAGACCCAGAAGGTCCTGGCTCCCGCCTTTGAATCGGCATAGCTCTGACCATTGTGGCCATCTGGGGAGTGAACCAGCAGATGGAAGACCTCTCTGTCTGCCTCTGCCTCTCTGTAATTCTGCCTTTCACATGAATAAATAAATACATCTTAAAAAAAAAAAAAGGTTGAATATCACTGGTAGAAAATGTTTGGTGATAGAAATATCTCAGATGAGAAACAATGACTTGATCAGCCCTTGTCCTGACTGTCCAGGAACACCTTACTACTTTATTCCTTTTAGTATTTGTTTGTTCTACTTATTACCATCGGCTGAACTCTTTAATTTACACACAATTATTCTTAGGTGTTTAAATTCAACTGAAAAGTGATCCCTGTTAAATATAAGAGTGGGAATAAGAGAGGGAGGAGATGTACAGTTCGGCACATGCTCACTCAGACTTACCCTTAATGGTAGAGCTAGAAACGTGCCAGGGGATTCCAATTCAATCCCATCAATGTGGCATGTACCAATGCCATCTTACTAGTCTAAAGTGATCAGTTTCAGTTCATAATTGATCATAATGAGAGGATTAAATGTCAAAGGGATCACATAAACAAGTCTACTGTCTGCTTCTACTAACTGATAGAATTAAAAAGGAGAAAACAATCCAACATGGGAAGCAGGATACACAGCAGACTCATAGAATGGCCAAAGCCCTAAACAGCACTCTGGCCTCCGAATCAGCCCCTAAGGCATTCGGATCTGGCTAAAAAGCCCATGAGAGTATTTCAGGCATGGGAAGTCAAGACACTCTGGCAAAAGAAAAAAAATGACCTAAATTTAAGAACGCTGTGAGTGAGATCCCAGAGGAAAGAACAGGCCAGCAAAGAAGGAGGTACTTTTCTCTGAAGGGAGGAGAGAACTTCCACTTTGACTCTGGCCTTGTCTAAATAAGATCAGAGTTGGTGAACTCCAGAGGAACTTCCATAGCCTTGGCAGCTCATGACAAGAACCTCTGGTGATTACTGACGTCATCAATAAGAGTGTCCATTGTTAAATCAACAACAGGAGTCACTGTGCACTTACTCCCCATGTAACATCTCTGTCCTTAATGTGTTGTACTCTGTGAATGAATGCTAAAACTACTACTCAAACAGTACTCTATACTTTGTGTGTCTGTGTGGGTGCAGTCTGTTGGAATCTTTACTTGGTATATACTAATTTGATCTTCTATACATGAAGAGAATTGCAAATGAATTTTGATGAAGAATGGGATGGGAGAAGGAGTGGGGGATGGGATGGTTGCGGGTGGGATGGATGTTACTGGGGGAAAAGCCGCTATAATCCAAACATTGTGCTTTGGAAATTTATAGTTATTAAATAGAAGTTGAAAAACTAAAGTATGTGTGTATGTTGGTACAGTAGAGCATATGTGTAGTTTCTCAAATGGTAGCATCAACAGGAATAGAACAAAATTTTTCAAGTTAAAAGAGAGGTCAAAAAATCTATTAAAAAAGAAAAAGGAAAATAAATGTATTTAAAACTATTTTGGAAAATAAGAAAACAAGTATTCAAAATCAATCCCACGAAAACCCCTTTTGATGCCAGCTTGCCAACAGAAGACGTATATGCTCATATAATCACAGGCTCAACTAAGAGGTGATCCTTAACACTTTATAAGCATTTACCCACCTACTTAAAAACTTTTCATAACAAAAGAAATAGCTTTCGGGGCTGCCGTTGTGGGTGGGTGGGTTAATCCTCCGCCTGCAGCGCCTGCATCCCATGTGGGCGCCGGTTCTAGTCCCAGCTGCTCCTCTTCCAATCCAGCTCTCTGCTATGGCCTGGGAAAGCAGGGGAAGATGGCTCAAGTCCTTGGGCCCCTGCAGTCATGCCGGAGACAGGAAGAAGCTCCTGGCTCCTGGCTTCGGATCGGCACAGCTCCAGCCGTTGTGGCCATTTGGGGAGTGAACCACCAGACGGAAGGCCTTTCTCTCTGTCTCTCCCTCTCACTGTCTGTAACTCTGCCTCTCAAATACATACATACCTACTTACATCCATACAATCTTAAAAAACTAAATAGCTTTCTAACATTTTACTCTATGGATGCAGCAGAATTTGCTACTTACTTATATATTATTCTTTTCCATGTATATATTATTCCTAACTTCATTTTTCCTCCCTCATCAGAAAGGAAGACATGCTCAGTTTTGAAAAACTGTAAATCACAATCATTCAAAAAGGAGAGGATAAAAGCCACCATAACCCCTTCACTAGAATGAGCATGCTAACATGGAGGATTACCTTCTGTGCATTTATCCCATTCTTCATTACAACTAAGGTGACTTTAAACATCTTTGCACGTGAATGTTTGTTTGCATTTTTATTTCTTTAGAGTAGAAGATTGCAGAACAAGTGGATCATAAAGCACTAACTGTGTTGTGATCCTAGAATGCAATATCTAATTTCCTTTGGGAGCATTTCTTTCAATGCTGTTTTTCTCAATGCAGCCCCAGATTACTAAGTCTGAAGCTAAAGCAGCAACTCTTAAGGTTCCAAAGCAATCATACACACATCTGACATCCTAGGAGCAGTGAGTCTCCCTTTCCATGCTCACAGCCCAGGCAGGCTGCCAGGTGTCTTCCCTGCGAGAGCCCACAGGCGGAAAACTCCACACCTCCTGGGCTGAGCTCACTCACTCCCTTCTTCCTTCTCCTGACAGGCCGGCACCACTAATCACCAAGCATTAGAACTAAGAGTTATCCTGAACCACCAATGTTACCTAAGTTCAATTGGTTAAGTTGTACCAGTAGCTACAACTGAACTGTCACTAAGGCCAACTGGTCCTATTTCACACAGACCTTGCACATCCTCCCCCTGCACAGCCACTGTCCCAGTTCAGAGTCTCATCGTGTCACCTACATAACTGCAATAGCTGCTCCCAGAAATTCACTCTGGATTTAAATCTATCCCAATTGTCTAAAATAAAAAGTCATACCATTCCATCAACATCTGTCCTTACACAACCACAACCACACACACAGGAAACTCAATGTATCAAAACCAAACTGCTGATTTCCCCATGAAACCTCTTGCTCTGGCCCCCTATCTTCCCCTGCAATAACTGACCCACCATTTCACCAGCAGCTCAAGTCAAACCCTAGCATCATTCTCACTCCTTCATTTCCATCAAGCCATCAGTGCCACCTGTAAACTTTCTCCACTTCTCTCCATTTTCAGCCTGAGCAGATTTGAAGCAGGAGCCTGCAGCTTCCTCCAGGATTCCCAAACAGTTGCAGGAGACCAAGGACTTGGGTACTCTTCTACTGCTGGGCCGGGCCACAGCAGAGCTGGAATGGAAGCGGAGGTGCTGGGACGGAAGTGGAGGTGCTGGGACTTGAACCACCACCCATATGGGATGCTGCTACTTCAGGCAGCAGCTTCATCCACTCTGCCACGGCTCGGCCCGCCCCCACCCCCAAATGCCCAGGTTGTTGCACTCGTGATCCAGCTGGCTGCTAACAAGCCCAGGAAAGCAGAGCAAGAGGCCCAAGGACTTGGGCACCCGAACCCACACTGGAGTCCTGGATAAAGTACCTGGCTTCTGCTTCAGCCTGGCGCAGCCCCAGGACATCGTAGCCACCTGGGGTGTGAACCCATACACTGACTCTCTCTCCACCACTGCCTCATCAGTAACTCTGCCTTTCACACCAGTCTTTAAAAAGAAAAAACAATCCAGTACTTACCATGAGGTGTCAGAACCTTGGACAGGCTGGAACAGAGCACAAAGGGATTCCTGGGGTTTCTCTAAGCTTCTGCTGTCTAGTCCTTGTGTGCAGTCTGTGAAAATTCACCGGATTACGTGCAAGTTAATTCGAGTGCCCCAGGCCAGTTTTCCCGCACACACATTACAGTTCAGAACCACCCAGAGAAGAGAGGCCGGGAGTCAAGGCCGCTTCTCACGGACGTGGCCAAGACTGATTCCAGCCAGGGCCAGGAAACCTCCAAAATGGAACCCGGGCCGTGGGAAAAGTTCTTCCTCTCCCAACCCCCGCCTCCACCCGCCCACCAGCACTCCTGTCACACTCGCCCTCCCTCGACGCTGCCCCACACGCCTTCCTTCCCCTTCCTTCCACGCCACCCCACCTTCACGCCACCTTTTCCTTCTCCCCCCTTCCTCTCTCCTCCCGAATCTCCCTTGGCCGCCTCTCTCCTCCTCCTCTCCCCTCCACCCCTCACATGCACACCCCTTGCCTGCTATCTGCACCCCAGGCCCCACCTACCCCGTGACGACAGCAAGGCCATCGCGCCCAACTCACCAAAGAGCGTTTCTGCTCCTCTGGAACAGGAGCCGAGGCCCGAGGGGTAGACTTCCAGACTGCCCAAGAAGAGGACCGCGCCTACACATTTCCAGAAGGGCAAGGTAACTGATGCGGCTGTCCCGGGCTGCAGTGTCTCTGATTCAGGCCTGACCCCGGAGGCACTGGGTCTCACTCAGGCTCCGCCAGCAGCATCGAGGACGGCTCCTCAAGACTTGAACAGGCTTTTGGGCAGGAACAGATGAGGAGCAGACTTCCATCTGAGGATGGCTGAGCAGGAGATGTACCTACGGGTACAATTCCTGGTCACAGCGCAGGGCGCAAATTCACTCCCCACAGGCAGCTGCCATGGCGCCATGGGACACATCTGCATGCTGCTACGTCCAGTGTGGGGTGCCCAAGAGCCGATTCCAATCCCGCTACTCCAGGTTGGGAACCAGGGAGGCAGCCGCTGATGGCCCAGGTACTTGGATCCTGCCTCCTTCCCTCCTGGGAGTCCTGAATGGAGTTCTTGCCTCCTGGCTTCTGCCTGGCCCGGCGCTGGCCTTTGAAGCCACTTGGGGAGAGAAGCAGTGCATGGGGCATCGCAAGCACTCTTGCTCTCTCTCAGTGATTGCCCATCTGGTGGTTCGCCCCCCTCCCAGGTGGCTACAAAGGCCAGGGCTGGGCCAGGCTGAAACAGAAGCCAGGGACTTTATCTGGTGCCCCATTCTGAGAACCTGCCACCGGGCCCCTGGCTCCTGAATACTGGCTCCGGATCTGCTCAGCTCCCATCATTGCGCTAATTTGGAGAGGACCAGCAGATGAAAGACTTACTTTCTCTTTCTCTCTCTCTGCATGTAACTCCGAATTTCAAATAAACAAATAAGAACTTTATAAAAAAAAAAAAGGGGGGGGGAGACATAGCTATAAATAAAATACTACATCACGGCCAACTACTAGAGTTTATATCGAACTTGATACTATATGCATCACCTGGCCTATTAACACAGAACTCCTGTGGGAAGGATAGTTAAAACCCGTGATTTGCAAACCCTTCCAAAAAGGAGACGAAGGGGAAAAATCTTCCATCTCATCCCTTCGGACCAACATTTTCCCAACATCCAAAACAAATGCATCATAAAGAACACGGCACATACGTATCTGTCATGACTGCGCTGTCACATTCCTTAACAAAATATTACCAAACGCGCTCCTGAAGCACAACCAAAGCTTAGCACGCTGGGTGCAACTCCAGGAATGCAAGGATGGCTACCATACACAATCAATATATCACAGAACAGAATAAACATGGGGAAAGCCCACAAAGTATCCCTATAGACACAGAAAACCTATTTCACAAAAACTCCCACCGCTTTGGCGATATTAAAAAAAAAAAAAAAAAAGGAATCATCAAATCAGGAACAGAAGGTAAACCTCGGCTTGACAATGGCCTCTCACTGAAAACCCACAGAGCGCTAACATCACACCAAATGCCAGTTAACCGGAAACTGTCCTCCTAGACCAGGAAACAGACGAGCGTTTTCGCTCTTATTCCTCCCCGTCAGCAGTCTCGGGGGTCTCGAGCAGGGCGGCTGGGCCATCAAAACGCAAACAGACGGGAACGCGGGGCCGCTCCAGGAGGAGACGGAGCCCCTCTGCTCTGGCACAGCTGCTCGCACACTGGGGAAAGTTCCAGACCGACCGTCCGCACAGCAAGACCACGACTCCACCCGCGCCTTCGGGACCCGAGAGCAACAGGCACGCCGGCAGCGAAGACTCGCAGCGGGAAACCCCAACAGCCCCCGCATCACTCACCGCCAAGGGGGCCCGGTCTGCTGGCGGCACAGGGGCCCGCGAAGGCCGCTGCTTCCACGAAGGGCCGAAGAAGAGAACCGCGCCCGGGAAACGGCGCGGCAGCCTCGGGCCGCAGCCTCTCTGAGCCCGGCCTGACCCCGGGGGCGCTGGGTCTCCCGCAGGCTCCGCCGGCAGCGTCCAGGACGGCTCCCGACGGCTCGCGCGGGCTCTCCGGCAGCAGCGGACGGGACCCGCGAGGACTCCTACCTGAGCGCCGCGGGCCACGAGGGGCCACTTCCGGGGCACAAGGGGCCACTTCCGGGTCACAGCGCCGGGCGCAGGCGCACTCCCCATGGGCGGCCACCGTGGCGCCGCGGGACGCACCTCCGCGCTGCCTGCCGCGTCCAGCGTCCGAAGCCCCAGGGCTGCAGGCGGGGCGGCCTCTCCAGCCTGTGACCCAGGGACCACGCCTCCCGGCCTCCTGGGCGCCCTGAATGGAGGTCAAGCCTCCTGGCTTCTGCCTGGCCCGGCGCTGGCCGTTGGAGCCGCTTGGGGAGAGAAGCAGAGCACCGGGCATCGCGAGCCCTCTTGCCTCTTGCTCTCTCTCACGGATCGTCCCTCTGGGGGTTCAACCCCCAGGTGGCTACTAAGGCCGGGACCGGGCCAGGCCGAAGCAGAAGCCGGGACTGTATCCGGTGCTCCACTCTGGGTTCAGGGGCCTGAGTCCAACAAACACACAAATATGCTCAGGATCACTAGCCATCAGGGAAACGCAAATCAAAACCACAATGAGGTTTCACCTCACCCCAGCTGGAATGACTATCATACAAAATCAAAAAATAACAAATACTGGTGAGGATATATGAAAAAGGTACCCTAATACACTGTTGGAGGGAATCAAAGGAGATGAAATCAGCATATGAAAGAGTTGTCTATACCCCTATGTTTATAGCAGCAGCTGATTACTGAATAACAAAAATGTGGTATATATACATGATGGAATTCTACTCAATCATAAAAAAGAATGAAATCCTGCCTTTTGTAACAAAATGGTTGCAACTGGAAGCCTGTCCCCAAAAGACAAATATATATTTTCCCTGACTTATGGTTACTAATACACAGAATACAAAAGAAGTGATGTATATAGCAAAAGTGACATTTTGAGATTTGATTATTGTTTATAGTGCCTGTCTATACTATTTGAATAACAGTGGTTTCTCTATTTACTCTTTGTTGAATTTTTTATTTAATGTAGTAGTAAACTTCTAATTATGAAGTAAATTGAAAGTAAGTCATTGTCAGTATGGAGATACCTTAGAAATCTGAATACAGACCTACCATATGACCCAGACATCCCTCTCCTGGGAATATGCCCAAAGGAAATGAAACCAGCATATGAAGGAGATCTCTGTACATCCATGTTTACTGCAGCTCAATTCACAATAGCTAAGGTACAGAATCAACCCAGATACCTGTCAACTTAAGACTGGATAAAGAAATTATGGTATATGTAAGCCATGGAATTATACACAGTGCTTAAAAAAATGAAATCCTGTCATTTACAACAACATGGATCCAACTGAAAACATTATACTTAGTGAAATAAGCCAGTCCCCAAAATGCAATGTTCTCCCTGATTTGTGGTAATTAATAAATATATGTTTATTATGTTCTCCCTGATTTGTGGTAATTAATAAACAACCTAAAAGGCAATTTAGAGAAGTGAAATTGACACGTTGAGATGCAATGACTTTGAACAGCCCTAGTCTCAACTGTTGAGGAACAGTTTTTTTTTTTTTTTCATACTATTCATTGAACTCTTTACTTAGTATAGGGTTTATCTTAGTGGATAAAGTTAATCGAAAGTGAATTGTAGCAGATAGTAAGAATGGGAATAGGAGAGGGAGGAGGAAGAAGGGTGGCAGTGGGGTGGGAGAGAGGGTAGGGTGGGAAGAATCACTATGTTCCTAAATTTGTATATCTGAAATGCATGAAGTTTATATACTTTAAATAAAAGGTTTCTAGGTAAAAAAAAAAAAAAGCTATATAGATTCCAAAAGTTTTTCTGCACCAAAATAAGATTCATTATTTTATTCAAAAAAAAGGAAAGAAAGTAGGTCATTGTAAAACTTAAATGAAAAACAAGAAAGGAAAGAGTGAGAGAGGGAGTTTAGGGTGGGAATAGTCATTACACTCTTAAAAATGAAAATTAAAACTGAAAATTTTAAAATTTTATGAAAAACATGAAATTTGTTCCCTATAGAAATAAAGATAAAAATGTTTTTGAAAAAATGAATTCAATGTTAAAGCAGCAAATTGGGGGCCATTTACTGCAGCTCAATTCACAATAGCTAAGGTACAGAATCAACCCAGATACCTGTCAACTTAAGACTGGATAAAGAAATTATGGTATATGTAAGCCATGGAATTATACACAGTGCTTAAAAAAATGAAATCCTGTCATTTACAACAACATGGATCCAACTGAAAACATTATACTTAGTGAAATAAGCCAGTCCCCAAAACGCAATGTTCTCCCTGATTTGTGGTAATTAATAAATATATGTTTGACTCTCACAGCGAGTTAAGACATTAACCTGCAGTATCAAAATCTCATCTAGGTGCCAGTTCAATTGTTGGTTGCTCTATTTTCAATATAGCTCTCTGCCAATGGTCTGGAAAAAGCAACAGAAGATGGCCCAGCTGTTTGGACCCTTGCATCCACCTGGGAAAGCGGGGTGAAGCTCCTGGCTCCTAACTCCTGGCTTCAGCTTGGCCCAGCCTTGCCTGTTGTGACCATTTAGGGAGTGAATCAGTACGTGGAAGATCTCTCTCTCTCTCTCTCTCTGTAATTCTGCCTTTCAAATAAACAAATCTTTAAAAAAAAGAAATAAAATATTTCTCTTTTTAATAATAGCTTCCACATTAGAACTGTTTTTGAAATGTAAGTAAACATCAAATGCATTTCTATATATATATATGCTTATGAATTACATAACCTAATTGTGGTTGAGATTTTTAATGTTATTCAAGCATAATTTCCTAAATATTTTCTTTTCTAGAATATATTAACACTTTCTGCAACCAAGACAAAAAATGTGTGACTCATAGTTTTTCATTCAGTCCTATAAGGAATCTGGGAGACAACAGAAACAATTTTTTCTATCTGATTTTAAAATAAGGGAGCAAAGAAAGGTAAATAAATAAAGAATGGGCTTCCTACATTTGGGCATGGCTTTCTGAAAAGGTGTTGCCTGGAGCTACAGTAGCCATTTGTAACCATGAAGACAAAATTATAAGTGACAATCTTGCTGAGGATGTCAAGTGGAGATCAAGGAAAACTGTATATCCTTGATAAAATTCCTGAGTCAAAGTAGCCAATCTTGGGGGTTGACATAGTGGTGCAGTGGGTTAAGCCACCACTTTCAATTCCATCATCCCACACTGGAGAGCCAATTTGCTCCACTTCCCACCCAACTTCTTACTACGCCTCGGAAGGCAGCAGATGGTGGCCCAAGTGCTTGAGACCCTCCACCCACATGGGGGACCTGGTTGAAGTTCTGGCTGCTGGCTTTGGCCTTGACAAACCCTGGCTGTTGTGACTATTTGGGGAGTGAACCAACAGATAGAAGATAGAGAAGATGGATCTCTCCCTACCGCCTGCCTCTCTCTTCTCTCTCCCTCTTTCTCCTACCATCTTCCTTTCTGTCATTTTGCCTATCAAATAAACAAATAAATATTTTTAATAACTGATCATGTCATAGCTCTCCTTGTTTCAGCTAAAAAAAGGTTCTTATAGTATACACCACTTTCAATTACATCACTTGGTGTTTTCAGTATAAAAAATTCTAAATTGGGGCTGGCACTGTGGCATAGCGGGTAAAGCCGCCATCTGCACTGTGGGCATCCCACATGGTTTGGAGTTCCAGCTGCTCTGCTTCCTACTTCCCATCCAGCTACCTGCAAATGCACCTGGGAAAGCAGCCACAGATGGTTCAAGTGCTTTGGCACCTGAACCTATAGGGGAGACCTGGACAGAGTTTTTGCTCCTGGCCTCAGCCTGGCCCAGCTCCAGCTGTTGTAGCCATCTGGAGAGCAAACCACTGGATGGAGGATCTCTGTATCTCCTTTTCTCCTTTCTCTCTCTGTAACTCTGACTTTCAAATAAATAAATCTTTTTTTTTTTTCAAAGAAACTATTCTAAATGATGCACTAACATTTTAGGCAAACATCTTTGTCTAAGACTTCTAAACTACATTCTGACATTCCTATAGCAGAAACTACTTGTTTTCAACTAATATCCATTTTTCATTTGTGTTAGCAACAGAACTTCTGATTTTAGCTGTAGAGACACATACATCTCCCTGCCCCTCTGAGTGAATGCATGCCAAGAAATCCTTGCCAAACAGGTACCAGTGAGATTGGTGTGTAGGATTTCCCCAACGGAACCAGGCCTAGAGAGAAATCCTGCCCTCCACTGTCCCTCCCTCCCCTTCCCAGGAGCTGGAATCCAGATGTGCTGGCAGAGTTACAACAACCATCTGGAGCCACGAAGTAGAACAGAGCAAGAAAGAAAGGCATGACTCCTGCGTTCTGTGCTGCAACTGTCCTTGGTTGACTATGCTTGAACTGTTATATGATAGAGAATTCATCTTTGAAAAATTTTGTCACTGTTATTTTTGAGAGTTTTTTTATTTTAATATTAGCTTAGCCTTTACCCTAATGAAAAAATTTACCCATGATCTCTCTATCTCTTTCTGTGTCTCTTTTTCTCCCTCTCTGTGAATCTGCTATTCAAATAAACAAATCTTGAAAGAAAAATGTTCCCCAATAGGGAAAATGATTTATTTCAGTTTAGATGAGTTTAAATGCTGTAGAAGAACTTCTTGATTTTTCAATTTGTTCAAGGTAATTACCCATCAAAAATTTACATTAATTACATATGATTCTAGAAAGCTTTTTATGAAATTTATATTTTTGATTGACACCCTGTAATTGTACATACCATGAAGTAGAAGGTGATGTTTTGATTCATGTATGTATATCTGGATTAGACTAAGCCAGAGTAATTAGCACACTTATTATGGAAAGACTTTTTAGAAGTATGTTTACATGTGTCACATATGCAGATTGAATGTATAAATCATTAATAGATAAAAGTATCTGCAAA